TCGGCAGTTTGTACCGTTGTGTTGAAATCAGTGGAAGAGTGTCGTTTCGAAACCAAATCGCCAAGATTCGCGATGCCTGGCTCGATTCTCCACTGATTGCCAGGCACAGTTGATCCCCTGAGGCGATGGCGTCTGCTGGTCCAAGCCTCCAAGTTGGGCGACAGATTAAACTTTGCGCATCACCAATGTACGTATTTCGCAATCAATCGCCTTGTCATTATACCGTTTCGGTGCACAATACTGCCGACTACCACAGCATACCATTGCGTAATGTTGATTTTGTATCCTTCTATGAGTCAATGAGTCTTGGACTGCGAGATACCCAGAAGCAATACACAAGTAATCAGGTGCTGAATTTAGGCTCTGAGCCATCAATAAAGCTGGCGGCCTGTGGGTGCCGCGGACGCTAGCAAACAATGGCGCCTTGATACCTAGTCCAACGCTTTGATGGACCAGGGAAAAGTCCCGCGAAATGTGTTGGCCGTTCATATTGGTGGTCAGGCATGGACAGTGAGTGTTGTCTTCTTGAAACCGCGGTAGGGGGTTTTCATCCATTCGACACAAATACGCCGTTGGTACAGAGTATCAAGGTCTGGGATTGATGTGATGCTACCCCCCAACCTCAATTTCCCCAGAACCCCTTCTTGCGCGTCAATGATGTGCAGCAGCCACAGGCCCAAGCTTTGTGGTGTCAACGAATCTGCAGATGATGATCCTGTATGAAATTGTTTGCCATATGGCGCTCTGTAATTTGCTTCTCCGTCCACCATGTTTCCGGATGAGTTCGCCGGCGATTGATCCATGGAAAATGGTGGTGCCATGCCCTCTTGGTGGTCTGTTGCTCCTGAATCCGATCCAAAATTGACCATTCTTGCAAAGCCTCCTTCGGGTCATGTTTCTTACCATCAGCTCGGGACAATTGAAGGCGCAGGCTCAAGACTCCACTGTAAGAGGAATTCGCCGATGTTCAATGAGATCAAATGGCTGAGCATCGACTCCATTTTGCAGTACATGGGTATCGTAGCTCAATTCGTCACGGAAGGTCAATGCTACCTATGCATGCCCGTTGTTTGCTGAGACCAACACTGGGAGGTTGTGACACAGCTGCAGATCGAGGAATCGAATGTTCGTTCCGAGGTTGGTGTGTTGTATAGATTAGTACAAAAAACGGTTTTAGATACCATCGATTGATCGTCACAGACGTATCAAGTATGGATTGTCTGATGCATGTAACAACGGTCTGTACTGCAACCTTGAAGTTATCAACTTCAACAGTCGGTGGTTCTTATCCGAATATCTACACCTCAATAGGAAGGCCGAGCTGATAGATCAAACGTAGATTGGCGGTTCGGATGCACGTTGTCACCCATTTGCCTAATCCATACGGCATTGAATGCAGCGGCAGGCGCGCAATGAGCGGGCACTCCCGTGGTATCAATCCCACCGCGTGGTCTGTATCAGTCCAATCACCAAGGCAGGATGGTCTGGCGCACCCATCACGAGCTTCTCTGCGTACCCGATTGCGCGGGATGAGGTCGTCTTAGAGGTGCCAGCTGTGTCGAACTAAGGAAAGACTAATGCCGCTTCTACACTCTGCCACGAATGATTGACGAATTCAAAATAGCCTCGTATGCGGTGCCGCAAACCTCGAGTTCAGGTTATCAATCTTGTGGTGATTGGACTCAACCTGGACCTGGTCATAGCTTTCGTATACGACTCTGTCCTCGAATAGGCTGCTGTTTGCATAGGGTATGCTTAAACAACAGACACCATCAAACGGCTAGTTACCATCTTGCAGCATGCTCATCAATGGTGTCCTTCCCAATGAAAACACCTGTAGCTCGCCTCGCGCGAACAATTGGACCCCAAGATGCAATTCGCATACTGTATCATTCACAGTGGTGGGCTTCATAACGCAGCAGGTTGATGCGAGCCAATGCAACAGGTCTGACGCTGTGCCACTTCTTGCTGGCATGGCATTGCATAGGTCGCCTGCAGACCATCAGGTGCCCAGAAGCAATGACGCGATAGAATGCATGGTGAGACTGAGCATTGCGTTGTGCCTTGCGCCGACAGGGCAAGGTGATTGTGACGCAGTCACTGTAATTACTGCACACAGTCGAGTGTTCAAAGTCTCGAGACAGAGCTTGAGGGCATACTGCAGATGCTGGTTGGCGGTCCTCCACAAAGGGTTTAAGACCTCTGACATACTGCTTAAGGAAGCGCACGTGGATGCAACCCGTAGAACAGTGGAAATTGAGGGCGTGCCCCAGAAGTCTTGGAACGGAATAATCGGCATCCTTTGCTATGCTCTGTAAGAATACGGCGCATCTTGGACTGGCCGTGCCAACGCCCAGAAGGGATTAATACGATGGACAATACGGCCGCTTAGCAGGCTGCGGGCTTGGCATTCACCATGTTATGGCCAGGTAGGTAACTGTGGCCATGTGGATAAGATAGCTCAAATGGAACGACGATAGAAAATCAACTTGAATACGAGATCTCATATCGGGTGCGGCATGCCTGAGATGCAGAGGTACATAGAAATACCTCAGACAAATCGAGTGCCTGAATATGGCGCGTGATAGCTTTGACGGAACATCGCATCCCTTTGTGTATGCAAGGGCCCTGGCTGGGCCATTATCTCAATAAGACCTTCCAGTCATGACCGACATGGCCGAGACGCCGCCCCTCATCCGAGTTGGAGAGAAACTGTAAGTCAAGGCGGCAGCTGTGTCAGTGGATTGAGTGATGAGCCTTTTTCACCCCTTCTCAAAGGGTCAATGGATAATTTCTGAGGATGGGACTGTGGAACAAACCAATTCGAAGTCAGACACGTTGAAAGGGTGAGAACTGGGTCAAGCTTCAGGAGTTTAGAATGCCATCACCAAATGTGATAGCAAATGAGCTTGCCCCGTGATTTTTGCAGGGTGCCAAATGTCTGTGGTTCGTTTATGAACCCGCTCTGTACCCCCGCGCTCGTCTTTCATTGTTGTATCCCTAATGAGATTCCCTACGTCACCCGGCAATCGCGTCATATCGCCATTCTGGTCGCCCTTATTTTCCCGTGGACAAACTGGTTTGCTAGGTCCGCCTATTTAATAGGCTAATGATGGAATTTGGAAGACTTGTATTGCTCTTGAATGTGCCATTTTTCGATTCATTTGTCTGTCGAGCCATGTCAAATGAAAGAAAGGGCCCATAAAGTTGACTGAACGATTTGCCTCTAAGGTCGAGTGTTGACACATACACAAGGCTGACCGATACCGCAGGTCTTCTCCCGAGACACTTGAGATCAGTCCTTTCAGGGGCTCGAGGCAGACGGCCCCCCATGTCTCACAACCATGCCCCTTAAGATCCCTTAGGGGCCGAGAGCCCACAATAGATCCTCCAGCCGATTGGATGATGGAGCAAGCAAGCGACGTCATTGTTCTTCCCCACGCAATTGAGCAAGCCCTTAACGAATCAATGGCGAATCAGAATTCCGCTGGCGGTTATGGCTGGCCCAGCACACCGGTGCCGTTTGAACACCCAATTTGCTTCTCAAGAAACTCGAGATGCTGGAACCGCTCAAGAATATCCTATCACCGGCCCAGATTGGAACAAGTACTTGCACACCGCATGTGATACGACACTGTTGACATGGTCTTCGTTGCTGGCTCTTTGTCGCTCGGGGTCCAGAATGGATACCTCGTGACCATAAGAAATCTTGCCGGTCTGTCTAAAAATGTCGGTGTATGCAGCCTAAGATGAAATGCGGTCCTTGGTTTGTCGTTTTCCACGACCCCGCTACTGGATTCTCAAGACTTCCAACAAGGCTTCTGATGATAGCAGGCCTCGATGTGTTGAGTAACAAGCGCGAATGGGATTCTAGTATAGGCCGTTAGAGTCTTGAGGGCAAGGAATCTTGTATGGAACACTCCGTAATCAATTCTATTATTGTCCCGAAGTCAACATCTGCATGAATAAAGAAATGTTGAAAGTCCATGTCCGTTGGAGTCGAGAAGGATATACGCCTGGCAAGGCTGCAGGCTGTGTGTATTACCGAGTATTTGTGATAAGAAAGCGGGGGATGGCGTCCGTCAACGATGATGGATGAGCGGACAGCCGTACGGGCAGTATGCATTCTCCGTGACCACGGCCGAGATATCTGGAAGGTCCCCACAGCGACATGCTGCCCGCAGCAAACGATCTTTGTTATGTGCACACCCCTATGCAGGTTCCAGGCCGGTCCGAGGCCCTCGTCTTCCCCCTGTCTGGAGCTTGGGGGCCCTGACCTAAAATTGGCGGGAGTCGGCGCCAAAGGATCGACGAGATGATGATCTCATTCCGTTGTTGGCTGTTCAGAGGTTTGTTTCAAGATGTCTCTCGCACAGCATGAGGGTATTGTCAAATCAAATGGCGTGTTGCTCAGATGTCCCACAGAATCTGGCGGAATGTGGGATAGACACCTGAGGTCCAGGAACTGGTATCCTGGGGCATTCAGCCTCCCAAGTCTCAGGCTCTTCTGCCACCACTTCCCATGACGCTCTTCAACCCATCCCCTGGGTCCAAGACTGCGATTGGCTCCCCCACGAGATTTCCTTGACCGGTGTATGATCCGTCTGGTATCTCGTGCCTAGTCACGCTTGGGAATGATTTACCCTGATGTTTGGTTGTATTGTTTCGAGAGGGAGGAGAGACTGGAAAACCAATACGAGGAATCGAGAGGGCAAGTTTGACGAAAGAGATGGCAATCCAATGCTCCACTTGCGCTGGTGGTCAACAATGCGATGCTATCGTCAGCGAGCGGCACTTGGCCGTGTTTCGCTATTAGCAAAGCGGTAAAATGCAATAATGCCACGTCACCACGACCTTAAGACTGTTGACGGCGGAATGATAGACATATCACTGGATTTATGTAACCTCAGGTCCCTTGGTTCGACCTTGTAAACGAGGGCAATGCGAAATCGTTTCTGGATTACCATCCTGCATGCCCTATCGAGTAAACCCTGCCCTCCCTAACCGAGTATTTGGGTACAGTCAACCGTGGGTGCGTGGCAATCTGCACTGGGACCAGCAAGGAATTGAAACCCAACATGCCATGCAGTGATGCAGCCTTGTGCACAGCTCAGCCGCATATAGGCGAGACCGCAGTAATCTGTAATGTGGCGGTCACTTTCGAAGATCAGGATGTGCCATCCTCTAGTGAGAGTAGGGCAGGGTTAAGAGCGACGGTTTACCGGGGAAGGTTGAGAAGAGCCTTCCGGCGCTCGTGACAGTGGATACGAGAAGGCCCTAAGCTGGTAGCACGAGGAGCCACGCGGGTGTTGGTGTTGAAGTTGACATTTTGATAGTTGCTGTGGATGAGGCTAACGGTTTTCTCAAACAAGCTGCTTGGATTCCCTGTTGATACTGAGATTAGACGATACAGTGGCAGCTGAAGTAAGCGAATGCACCATCCTGCACTGTATAGAGAAAGCCCAGTCATCGCTTTCTCCAGTATAGTGGATACAATCCCTTGAATAGCTGAGATTGCCTCGAGATGCTAAAGAGACACGATGTGATGCTGACAGAGAACACGAACGTGGAGGATTGAGATGCTGGAAGAGATTGATAGCGCCCTAGGAAGGTTTAGCCCCGAGAGACAAAATACAAAGGCAAGTTATCAGGGGCTAAACGGGCTGTCTGATGTGTTTATTTTGGCAGCCTTGTTAAACTTCGAAGTTTTTATTTTTTTTTTTTTTTTGGCTCCTTGCAGACGCTATTCGGCTATGCCTGCGAGATCCAATTTTGGAAGCTGAGGCTGATAGCTTTAGTGGAAGCTACCTACTCTGTAGAATCAGGAAATGACCGAAGGACTCTCTTTCTGCCAAGCAATATAGCAACATCAAACACTGCCTGCACTTCAGGTAGGGTAGGTGCATCTTCGATTTTGGGTCCTGACATTCAAGGCATGGGATTCAACACCAGACCATGCATCATCACGATATCAATATCGGCTGTTCGTTGATCTAAATCATCGCTGTTGCTCGTTTCAAATCTTCGGTTCTGCGGCCCCGTACAAGGGCCAATTTCCCTCCGGTCGGGTCGGGTTGTTTGGCTGGAGTCGGAAGCAACATTGGCGCTCCACACATCGTGTCAGACTGAGGTCATTGTTGGAGGAGGCTCAAAAGCCCGGCCAGTCCAGTCCAGCTCAACGCAACCTAAAGCAGAGCAACGCTACGCTGCTGAGGCGCATCGCGGAGGAGGACAGCCAAGCCGACGTTCAGAGGCTCGCCAGCCCCCTTGCGACAGCATGAATCCTTGGGGCACAGGCACTTTTGCTTACTGCTCCCTCTGTGGCTCACTTGTTGGCAGTCTTGCTCATCTGGCTCCATGTGGCCTATAAAGTCAAATCTCTGGCAAACAGATCGAGTCATCGCCTACGTGTGCTGCATGAAAGAGGTACCACGTTTTGATACCAGAGTCCAAGTCAACATCCGTAGAGATTGATTGGCAGCCCTGCTCCTTGACCAACGCTGGGCACATGGTTAGCCATGTGCCGAAGCGAGAGATTGAAGTACTGTACTCCGTACACGCGAGCGCACCCAATTCTAGGCGCGGAGACGGGTACTGTACGCGTATTGGCGGGCTTTGAACGGTTGAAGCTTCTACCATCCCCTGTCATGGAATTGTTCTTTTTCTCTGGCTGTCGGAACTTGAATGCGGTACGTAGTGACAGGCAGCGGCTCCGAGTGCTGTCAATGACTCCTCAGGCTCAGTGACTTGCTCCCCAAGATTGTTTAGTCTTGGCCGGATCGCTAGCCGAAGCTGTCCTCTTTTTTTCTGTCTGCTTACTGGTTCAAAGTAAGCCCTTGGAACCACCAGTTTGTGTCAAAGCTCTTTGACATTTCTTTTACTCCCTTCTTGATCCCCCTCGTGATCATGATTTGAGAGGGTCTTACAACCAGGGACAAACGAGAATGCAAACATCTGCCAAGAGGACAGAAAGGAGCCGACAAAGACATAATAATAAACAGCAGAACCGAGATAATCTTTGGTGGTTGCTCGGTTGTGGACACCAAGCTTGTTTACTAGGCCAAAGTCAAAGTTTTTTTTTCCTTGAACAAATTGAAGCAGAAAAGACCCAATCCCAACCCAGACTATAGACTTTTTCACCACTTTGCCCCTCTTCTCTTTCATTCTGACAGTCTGACCGGATACGGTCTTGGTTTCCAAGTTCGTGTCGTGATCATTGATTGCTCGATCGCCCTCGTCTAAGAGAGAACTTGGTCGAATTTGACAAAACTTTGCTTTTACCACAGTGCCAAAGTATGGCTGCCAAGGAGGGGTATGGCGTCTTATTGCATCGTCATTCTGAGATGGCTGCTCATCATCAAGCAATTGTGTCACGACCAACCAGATTGATAGCACATGTCTATCCGACCATTTCGTCCACGTAGATTCACGTCGTTTTCATCTCAGTACCAGACAGCTTTGTTAGTCAGGAACGGAGGGTTTGCCTATCGTCCCTTCAGATTGCTCTGGCATGGTCGAGAAATTGGATTCGCGCCGGCGCGTCTCATTCTGATTGACCAGCTTGATAGTAAAGGTGTGTAGCTCAGACCTCTCGGATCCAGCGGCGCGCATATCTATCTCTCTTGTTTTGCGCCGGCTCTCCCTCGAGACAAAACCCTTGATCGCCATGAGTATTTCATGCATTGAAGTATGGAATATTAGCTTGTGTTGTAAGCCTACTAGTTATCGAGCTACACAAGGATCGAGTACCGAAGTCATCAATCATCATCAACGATAATCGCAATCGCAATCGCAAGCATGATGATTTAGGATGATGATATTTATGGCGTCTTTCTCCACTCTGAATGGGTAGCCGTTAGTTTCGATTTGAGAGTGTTGTTGGCCGCTGTTGTTGGCCCGTTACGGCGCACTACCGCACTCCGAATAGACGAGGAGGAGTCCAACAGAGCACTTTGAGGCAAGCGGTGTCGCGTTTATTCTGTCGACCTTGATGGACTGGGCGCTAGAAAAGCCAGAAAAGGGGTGCCATAAGAGGAAGTGAAAGAAAACGGTGTGAGCCACACTATCCATGATCCATGGCATCCATCTGATGGCCGAGCCCCGAATCCCGCCCACAAGCACAAAGCCTCAATCCGACCCTTCAAAGGAACAGTCCAAGCCCACTACCGAGCGCTAATTGCAAGCTGGGACGCTAATAAGTCACAACACAACGGTTCCCGAATCCACGTATTCAAGGCTTCAGAGTGTATCTTTTATAAGATTAAGCTTCTGATTTGAGGAACTTATGATGAGATAATGAAGCTTATCGCGTAATTGCCAAACTTATGTTGCTCTATACGACATCCTTGGACCCAATTCCAGGGGGGTTTCTAATTCGCAAGGGAAAGAGGATGGAAGAGAGGAGAGCTTAGAGGAGGATCGAGCCAGGATCCATCGTCATCTTCCAACGTTCCGGTTCCCCATGTGGGAGATGGAATAGCCTTCTCTCATAGGCATGGATGCTCTTAAGATTTCCAAGAGTTTCGTCTGAACCAAGCTCACACCGCTCTGAGCACCTCTTTCCAATGCAATGCAGTTCCCTTTGCATCTCGCCCTTTCTTTTTCTTGGCTGGCTAGTCCATAGGTGATGGAAGACAGGGTAAGCTAACCAAAGATAAGCCAGCATCCAGTCCAGCCTATCCGATATGCAACTTGACTTATCCCTGGCACGTTGACGATGACCCTATGGTAGGACTTGCTTGGCCTATGCTATGCTTCTGAGTCTAGTTTTTTGTCGCTGGGTTTCCCGTGTAACCATCTTGTTCTTTAACTGGCATGACTATGACTCTCCCCCCCCTTTCTTCTTGTGCTGTCATGCCTACCAATTGCTTGGGTGACTTGGCCCGTTCGCCCTGTTCTTCGCACCGAGGCATAGTGTGTGTGTACACGGGAATTGAGTAATCAAGCAGGTGAGCGGACAGGTGAGGAGGGAGGTTCACCGTATCTGTCTGTGTGTACTGTATGTAATGACTATATTGGTCTGGAAGGCACAACGTGGTATGTCGGTCAATCTCAGTTCGAGACATTGTCCTTTAACGACATTAATTGTTGGTCATGTGCACAGGTGGTGTATCAGAACAAGTTAGACCTCGGAACATTTCATCAGAGTTGAGGTTGAGTTGAATGTGTTGCATTAGGTCGGTGTCTCCCTGCAAACTCAACTTTGTCTCCCTTGTATCGATCAAGTCTTGGGCCTTGGGTAACACCTCTCAACCACCTAAACTTGGACTCTGTGTATGGCTGCATAAGGAGGACATGCTCACTCACTCACACACACACACTCTCTCACACACACACCACCAGGGCCTAACCATTCGCCTCCCCCTTGACCATTGACCATGGAAAACCCCACTCTATCAAGTTGCAGTGGACGAAAATCATACACCCCTCCCCCCGGTCACCTCCCCAGTCTCTCCAGTATCCACCCCGGTCTGTCTGTCGTCCACAGTAAAAATTGAGAGGGAAAGGGAAAAAAATAATTAAAAAAAAAGGGCTGTAGGGAGACGGAAGGGTACGTACCCCAGTCCAAGGTTCCCAGCGCTGGGAAATCCCTGGTCTCTGTATGTACAATACAGGCCCCAGTATCGTTGGATGCTGGTCCCATCAAATCAATGGCTCAATCAATCACTTACTCTGGTCATCCTCATCACCCTGCCTGTCTCTGCCCAGACTCCTCTCCAGAGTTGCACATTGGGGATTGACAGCGGATCAATATGAATAGAGGTGTAGATAGAGTGAGTACATACATAACATAACATACTGTATGTAATATCTGTCTGTTACAGGGACATGCACGGGCACACAGGCACAGGTACAGGTCGTGACTGAGACCTTAGTGGGCTGTTAGGACTAGGCTTATTAGTGAAGCTCACACAGACGCCTTCGACTCGGTCAACGCAGTGGAGGCCAGCAGGCAGCGCCGTACAGCGCAGCAGAGGAGGCGCTAGGTACCTACAGGCATTAACCTCAGCACAGTCTACAACGCAGCACAGACTTTAGTACTGACACTGACACTGCCAGAAGATCAGCTCGTGTCAAGTGTCAAGTAGAGACGCTCCAAATGAAGAAAAAACAGTCTTGGCTGGTCACCCCCTCCGCCATAATTTCCCGGCAGCCCAAGAAGACACCCCCAAGTCGCAGAGAGAGAGAGAGAGAGCCCAACGGAACCGTAACAGCAACCGCCCAGGCTCTGGCTCAGGCTCAGCGCACCGCCGCCGCATACAACTTAAGACTCTTCCGCTGCCCGCGTCCAAGCACCAGCAGCTTCCATTCAGTCTCTTCTATTCTGTGGTCTAGCTTTCTTAACGTTAGCTCTCTTTTTTCTACAAAGTCTCAAGTCTCGCCCGCTCCAACGCGCGCCAAAAGAGGACGCCATCATACTTTGAAGCTTCTGCCCTCCCTTGCCCAGTTCGCTCTCCCAACTGTGCGGTA